AGAAAAAAAAAAACACGGGTTCCGTTTGCCTGTTGCGAGCTACCCTGTTGAAGTCAACTTCCACAACCGGGGTTCCGCTCATTTGTTGGCTCATTGAAGCACCACAGACTGCTTATTGAAGCTCCATCTTGGGTACAGTTTCCATGCTTGACACCTGACCTGCCTGCTTGCCGACGCCTCAGACTGGTACAGTTGCAGGCCGGACACCTACCCCCTCGCCTTGCTGCTCTCCGTCCTTCAGCTGTCATGCCATGCTGCTCCCCTGCATCTGTCCTGTCCAATCTTGCTGTCCTCCTGCCCTGCTGTCCTACATGCTTGATTTGCCACTGCTCATTGTATATGCCCTGTCTGGATGGGGAGAAAGAAAGAGAGAGAGAGAGAGAGAGAGCGAGCGAGCGAGCCTGTGAGTGAGTGTTGTAACGAAGTGTGCTGCCAACACCGAGTTCTTCTCAACAACCACAACCAACAGCCAGCGCATGTTCTTTGAACACTACGCATTAGGAGATTGGATCAAGTACTTGTTAGATTTAATCTCCCAACAACAAGGAGAGAATTAGACAAGTTGCTGGTGCTAAGCCACTGGCACTTCTTGGCAGCTTTTGCTAGCCTTTGCAGCTAGTGTGCTTGCAACGGAACCAGCACTTGCTCGTTAGTTGCCTCCTTCTGCTCGATGCTTTGCCTGCGTCCTGCGCAGCCTCTGCTCCTGCGCAGAGAGCGCAGAGTGAGACTGTTAGAAAGCCATTCAGTCAAAGACTTTCCAAGCCTGGATCGGCTCCAAGCCTTCCCTTTCGGAGGATGACGCAGTTCGTGAGCCAGCCTTCAGCAAGGTGAACTACGAGGAGAGCAGCTTGGTGATCCGATTTGTTCAAGCTGTGGGTGACTGCATCAACATGCATCCAAATCTCCAAAGAGCTTGCTCTCGTCCAATCCGCCTTTGCCTGCGCTTCCGGACCAGGACTGTTGAAACCTGACGTTGAACATGTTCGTCAGCGTTGCCTTGGCACGCTCCTCCAACTCCCTGAGCTTCTGAGGCTTGGATGCGCCCAGCCGCTCCATGCGCTTGACAATGAAGCCAGAGAGTTGCAACTTGATTAGGAGAGGCTCATCCTAGGCAATCAGACATCTCCCCAGGCTTCAACAACGATTCTGTTCCACTCGCTTCAGATGCGCTCACGAGCTGAGGCGCACATTTCCATTCTTGTTAGACTCCAAAAGAGCAACAACGCGTCCGTTTACAGAAGTCCTGCTCTAACTCTGCAAACGACTCCAATGGCGGACCTGCACTTGCCAGACAGAGGCCATAACAAATTGCCGCTTCGTGGTACCAGGAAGCCTCCCTGCTCTCTAGTCTCCTCTATGAGCAAGTCCACATTCGTTGCCTCATCACTTCGTGACAGAAAGTAGGTGACAGGCACCGAAGAGCAAGACCGTATAGACGAAGCACAGAGAACTTGGAGAATGCGAAGTGTTTGAGACAAATAACCCGGAAACCCCCCCAAAAAAGCAGCACCGAGGGGCAACCAGCGCGAAGGGTCGCTTCCAGGAGGGCAGCCGGAAGGTCACGGGCTCGAGCCTGCTGCTTGGACGAAGCACGTTTGCATACGTTTGCACCTTTAGGCACCTTTTTAGATCTTTTCGGGGCACGCTTTAGGCATTCACGTAAGAAGCCAGTCTCCCAACCAAGACTGCTCCCTGAACCCTTCACCTGCTTTTACCTCTGCAGCGCCATCGCGCCTATGCTGCGATTTGGCTGCGTCATCTCTGCTTCCAGGTGGAGCAAACACAAGATTTACCTCAGTCACCAAATAACGTGGCCTAACACCATCCTCTCAAGCATTAACTTTTGAGTTTGCAGCCCCGCTTGACATGTCAAGCTGCGGCATGCGACATGGAGGAATGGAACTTCTTGCGCATGCCCGGCCACAACCATTCCAGGAGCGAAGGCCTCAGCCCGAAAATCCAAAAATCAGTTTATCTCGGTCCAACCTCGACCCCCCGCCTTCCTCGCGAATTGCCAGCCTGGAAGGTGAAATGGGCCTCAAATTGCACTCAAGTGTCACTGGCCAGTGAGGCATCTTCGAAGTACCCAGCCTCGTGAATTGATAGAGCGTCACAAAATGGATCCAGAATGATCTCAGCAAATTCTATCCTGAAGGAACACTTTGCTTCAATTAGGGACTTGTTGCAGATACCTCGAACCAGAGACAACGGAGGCAGATTGTGGCTGATAACTCTCCAGTTTACCCTGAGCAAGAATTGTCATGCACGCGCTTCTTACCCTTGCAAAACTTGACTCAGACCTGGGTTGATTCCTCATTCGCTCTGCATGTGGGGCGTGATTTCTGGCTGTTTGTGTTAAAGGCCAAGGCTCTCCGGCGTTGCGAAAGGCCTGTGGCGAAGGCCCGCAGCTGAAGTAATGGAGGAGTCACTGGATCCCGACGAAGCTACGGACTCCCTCCCATCGCGGCCATCGTCGTCTGGCACCACAGTAGCAAATTTAACGAAGCGTTTCAAGAAGCTTCCTCAGGCCTAGCCTTGGTGGTCAGGATGGAAGATGCCTTCCCCACGGGCAGAAGCCTCCAAATCTCACACAACCCAATGTCCTTTCACCTGTCTGTCAGAATCCTTCAAGCTTGTTAGGTTAGTTACATGCTTGGCTTGTAGATACTGGTACATTATGAGGGGAAGCTTTGCCTTTTCTCTAGCAATTTGGTTGCACAGGCACAGCAGATGTGCTGCGCCCTGGTGCGACTGGCTGCTTAGCAGCCAATGGACGAACCGCTGAAAGCAGCAGCAAGAAATGGCATAGCTAGCGAACGCTAACAATGTACCGTACTGCTCACGCCTGTTGTCGCATTTGCAAAGTCTTGAGGGTCATGACTTCCTGCAGGAGCTATACTCCGTGCTTCTTGTGCTATCTGGCATGCCCAGTGTTCTGTCGTTTCTGTCCTCTGAGTCCTCCGGGCTTCCCCGTGCCGTGCTAAGCGGTGCGGTGCGGAGTGATGAGCGCCTACAGGCAAAGAAAACCATGACAAATTGTGTCCAGGCTCAGGCCAAGGTCAAGGGCCCAGCGCACTTCCCGAGGTGTCCGAATTGGACGCGGTCGCTGATGCGTTACTTTCTGCCTCCAGGCCAAGGCTGGTTCCATAGCAGATAGAAGGGCTTGTAAGTTTGCAGGTAAGGCTTGCGAGGTGAAGGGACGATCGACCATGTCGAGAAAATGGAGGGTTTTCGTCCTTTGAATATGGGAGGATCAATGATCACCTCTGTAAGCCACTGTTTTGTGTTGGGAGTGACCTTATTTGGGGCCTGAGAATAACTGGGGTTTGAGCTCTAAGGCGACCAGTATGGGGGCAAACCCATAAAGTAAAAAATCTTGTAGAACTGCAAATGGAAGAACAGCAACACCCGCTGAAGGGTAACATTCTCTTGCGGCAAGCTGCTTTGGGGCTTTGCTATTGCTATGGCTGATTCTCCTCCTTTAATTACCATTGTGACTTCTATGCCTACTGCGACAGCGACGAGACTGCCACGACAACGAGGAGGAGGATCAACGCAGTAATTGCAAACCATGAAAGACATGCACATCATGCACGCTGCTTCTGCTGCTGCTGCGGCTGCTGCCGCTGCTGGTGCTGCGGGTGGCGGCGGCAGCGGTGGTGGTGGCGGTGGTGGCGGTGGTGGCGGTGGTGGTGCTGCTGCTGCTGCTGCAGCTGCTGCTGCAGCGCTCTTTGCCACTCCTCTTGCCATACTTTTACCACTCCCATGCTCCAATAACGACAATGGTCATTGCCCCGCTTCAGCTACTGCTGATGACGTTGCTAGTGCGCACGACTGCAATGCGTGCCTCTACCAAAAAAGCATCTGCATTCTCGATACTATCAGAATAGCTACTGTCAGACTCTCGCATAAGTCGCAGCACTCAGGCCTCCGAGATGCCGATAAAGTGACCCCGTTTCCCATTGGGACCTAGCGGTACATGTGGCACCACGGCACGTTGCTCCACTTCAACTGTCGATACGCACCCGGGACACATATGTGGAACAGCTCCACGGCAACCAGAAGACCATGACCTGATGTAGGAGACTTGTCACGTCTACAAATAACCAAACCACAAACATAGCGCCGGACTGTCTGTAATATGTACAAGTAAAGAAGTTGGTGGGGGCATCCGTGACCTTCCCACACAATCTCACAATGCTTGTGCTGTGCTCCCCACATGCACTGTCAGCATTGATAACGGCAATGTACAGACTTCACAAGGCAAAGCATGATGAAGCTGCATCGACCGCACCTGGAAGCCTGCGTAAATGGCGGCAAGTTTTCTAGCTGACCACTGTCAATGCCTGCGAAAGAAAGCCAAGCAACTTTCCGTGGCCAGAAACAAACAGGCAGGGTGGCAGGGCTAGCTTGAAACTGTCCCGCCTGTATCAGCAGCAACCTGTTACATACCAGAAGCCATACCACTTTGGGTTTTCTCCACAGCTGGCATGACTGAAAGCTTCAGCACACAATGGAAGCCTTGATTGCAGACTCAATGAAGACTTGAAAGCGCTGGGTGTCGCGGGGAGCCATAAAGTCAAGAAAAGCCCGACCTGGCAGTCGAGTTCGCAACATAGATCATGAATTGCAAAAAGGTGGCATTACTGTTTGAGAAGTTCTTGGTGCAAGATTGACCCCTTCCATAATCCGAAAAGGCAGGTTCTGAGCATTGCAACCAGGAAATTCTTGGAAACCTCCCAGCGACGAACCAATAAATTGAACCACTCAATTCCTGCGTTTCTTGGAATCATAGATTGGAGATTCAGGCTCCATTCAGGGCAAGCGAAATAAGTTGGAGACAAAATTGTATGAGCCCCAAAGGTACTGAGTAATCAGTTCATGCGTCGCTGAGGATAGCAAGATTTGCAGGAAACATCCTTGAACTTACCTGCTGTCTTATCCGCTAGTCCATATGGAGCTTACTATGACTGAAGCTTTGCATTGCACTTATCATCCCAGGACTGAGGAGCAAGGACAATGCCAAATGAAAAACTGATGGGCTCGAATACTTGAGATTTGAGACGATGTGAGGCTCAAAAACTTGCTATGGTTGTTGGGCACCAAGACGTGCCTGCCAGCATCTGACGCTTTTAAGAACCAGATGAGAAGTCCAGACTGCCCCACCATGAACGTGTTAAAATGGAACGCGTCCCATCAAATTCAGAATTGCCAGTACCCTTATCCAGCAAGAGAACCTTTCCTCAACAGCTCCATCAAGGTCTACAACTGGCCTTCCAAAGCAAATGGTGAGCTGCAGCTCATCAACAGCTGGGCCAAGCCTTGACAGCTGGAAATGCCGCAGTATACACCAATCATTACCGCCGCTCGCAGAAAACCCCGCCTCTGTCATGCGAGATGATTTTGAGATCTTCTCCAAGCAACACCTGCAATGGTTAAAATTGGCAACTCATGAAGCCGACGTTTGGGATGCTGCTCAGGAAGCTGCCTGAGCATCGCAAAGGACGGCCAACATCCGTCGGGCGGCAGAATGTTCTTGAAAGAATTGGCTTACATCCTTTGACAATCAAGCCACAATCCATCGACTAGCATATGTGCTCCTAGTCACTGCTAGGGCGCCCAGCTTCCACTGGGGACGACAACAGCTCGGCCAAGCTTGCTTTCAAGAGCACGACTGGGATGACGGAGAGGAGGCTGGTCCCTGATTGGCATGTGGCAAGGAGCCAAGGTCTCTACCTCATGAGCTGCGCCTAGCTCAAGGATAGCCATACTAGACAGCCAACTCCACTCCTCTTGCAACCTTCGCTGGCAAGTAGCGCACAGGCATGCTGTACACTGCTGTCACTCTACCAAACGAGAAGAAAATTAGCATTGTCTGCAGCTTGAAGGCAGGATCCGGATGAGCTGCACAATGCTGGCAACTGAATTGATGATGATAACGAATCCTTGACAGCAAGGTGGACGGATTGAGGGATTCAGCCAATATGAAGTCTGAGATTGTATCTATCACATATGAACTTCAAACAGCTTGGCATGCTGCCGCTTTAGATTACTCTAAGAGTCTGCTGTCCAAAAGCATCGAGGAGGCGCAAAGCCGCAGCATGATCTTTATGGGAAGCCTGTACAAAAGCAGCATCTCACATCAGCCATCCAAGACGGAAAACTTTCATCTGGGGCCCTGTCATCATGGTAATGGAGGACAAGTCGGACAGAATCGTGTGTAGAGCTCCGAGACAAATCTCGAAGCAACTCCTTCAGCGATGATATGTTGTGATGCAGGTATGGCCAAGAAGAGAAACAAATGACTTGGGTGCATTCAAGTCTCATTTTGTACAGCTGCGACATTTGAACCGTCCATCTGGAAGAAAAGATCGCAAAACAGAACGTAGCACCGAAGATTAGGTAGTCTTGCAACAGCTGGATGCGGCTGCTCCTGGCAGACAGTAAGGCTCAAAGGCAACATCAGCACTGCAAACAACATCAGACAGCAAACGCAACAGGTTAGGCTCAACCGGTTGCTTGAGTGCTGCAACCTCATTTTAGCAGGCCATGCAGCATGAGTGCCAGATATTCGATCTTTCTGGAGAGACACAAGATCAAGAAGGATCTGAGGTGCATCAAAGGAGAATCAGAAAATGGGTGAAGTCTTATGGCATTGCATACGGCTCGCCTCCGCAAACCCGACGAAACATCCAGCAGCCTCTGCTGCGTTGTGATGTCATTCCAGGGGAACCGATCCGAAAAACATCTCATAATAGGTTAAAAAGATGAGCTTTTTCATTCCTGGCTCTTATAGCATCTGTGGCATACGCACATGAATCTTTCATCTGCCGATCTGCATCCATATGAACTTGCAGCAGGTTTTGATTGGGTCAAGCGGGAGATGCGCCAGACAAAACCCAGGTATCTTGATCTGAGTGCTGACAAGATTCACAGCAGCAAGTGTAAAGCTGCCCAACACTGCAGCAGTCCTTTGCAGAAGGGCGCTGAGGCGCTGAGTGCTAATGTGGGGATCGCGTTTGAGCGGCAGACAGCTGCCGCGCCAAGGGCAATTGCATCTCCCGGAGCTTGTTTTGAACCGCTGCTTCCTGACCAAGGATCAACCCGCTTTGACGTAGTATCCTGTGAAAGGTGGCCTTCTCCTCGTCAAGGGTAGCAAGACCGTGCACAAAAGACTGAAACCTGCGCACAGCTTGAACCAGAAGGATTGCATGCATTCATCGATCTTGCCAAGGCATCGGCGTCCCTATGCAGCGCCTGCCATTTGCCTGCGGCCAGACGTCATGTGGGTGTGTTAGAGGCTGATTGTTGCAGACGGCTGGCGCCGCCTGCTGTAGCATGCAAATGAAACGTATGTGACAACCTTCTGTCCGTCTTGCATGCAATCTGACTGGCAAGGCCTGCCAACACCATGACAAAATGATGATCAGCAACGCGAGGACAATCAACTTCTCCAGCAGCAAGTTTGATACGAACCCAGCGACCTCGCACAGCCCCTCTGCGACATCTGCTTTTGCAATGGAAAGCTCGTACGCGCAGACTCATGCTCCCGTAAACAGCGTGTAGAGTGGTTTCGGCAAGCTGCATCCCATCTCATCGCATTCCACATGTCTATGCTGAACTTGCAAGATGTCCAGCACTGCGTGCAGTGAATGCTCATACTGCTATCAGCACTTCTACAGTCATGCTCAACTTGCCTGCACAGATGACTTGAATGATGCAATCCGCTAACCACCAGCTCAGCCACAGGACCAGCTGCCTTCACGTGCTATGCTGCAAGCATGTAGAGTACCGCATCACGCACAAGATTTTCACAATGTCGCTGAACTGTGAAGTCGCAACGTTTCACGGCTTTTCGTTCTGAGAGCTTGGAGCTGACACCTGCCATCAGCTCAGTCATTATAGCAAAAGACTGGATTTCGTGCCATCGTTTCGGCCTGGCTAGCACCCATGCATATCTGCAGAGGTGAAACGCCACAGGGTATACAGAGGCTGATGAAAACCTAAGTGACAGCAGCACAAGCGAATGCAAAGCGCATCTTTCCATCAGCTGCCGCCAAGCTGCACATGTGATCAGGAAGCATGCGAACCCAACAATCACATCCTGAGCAACAACTAGACCAGACTCTTGCAAAAACAGCTTAAAACCTGCTCAGCAAGTGCCAGAATGTGAACGAGTCACGGAGTTGGCCTTACACCAGTCATCGAACCTTTGTAGGCTGCTGTCATTGAGGGGTGTTCCTCTCTGGTCTCAAGTGGCGGCAACACTTTTGTTAGTTGCATGATTTTAAAATTCCAAGGCTGGTGGCGTCGCGGAATTGGAGCTCCCGGTGCTACTGGAATTCCTCCTTGATTCATGCAAAGCACTCCGTTTCATCTTGCACGTGTAAACCAGGCGAGGCTCTGCATCAACTGGAACAAGAGCGCCTCGTTCTCAGCCTTTCAAACTAAAGTTGTTTGACACAATTGTCCTTGAATCCACACATTCGAGGACTCAAACGTGTCACGCTATGAGAATATTGCCTGTAATTCGCGAAGCCGTGGTGACATCACAGCCTGCAAGGATGAGGGATTTGCCTGTTGATCACTGCAGCATGCCGTCGCTGAGTCGCACAGGATCCATTTCCACAATTTGTCAGCTAATCAAGACATGGGTCTCAGGCCTCCATGTCATGCATGATGGCCAATCGGCGCGGTGCCTGCCTGATGCTCCACATGCCAATGTCGCAAGATGCTGTACAGTACAGTCCGACTGCACATGCCCAAGCCACTGCTGATACATCTTCTCCATAGCTTCCGTGTATCTGCACAAGTCTGACAACCAGCACCACGTACCCACATGCAAAATGTCATCTCCCTGACGCCAATGCACAGAGGCCTGTTTGCATCAGCTGCCGCTGAATGAACCCCTCGTTTGAGTCCATCCTGGGCCAAGGGGCTGCAGCTCTTGTGCATGCCTTTGTGATGCGATGAGATGTGACACAACAAGCACACAACATTGCAACCTGCTGACAAACTTCAGGTGCTGCAATGGACACAAAAGGTCTCTGCAAAAAGAAACGCGTGCAGATCTGTTAGCCACGGCATGTGCAAACTTGGAGAGCTGCACTAGATGACGTTTAGGTGGGATCTGCTTGAACAAGGGTACATCGTGCAATCAACCGCAGGAAAAAAGCGTGAAACCTCACCTGCTGGATTTCTGGAGTCGCCGCGATGTTGAACGACTCATGCAACTTTTGGGCGAATTGCCCACGCAGGAAGCCATTAAGCATTAAGTTCTTTGCCCAAGGTCGGGTTGGGTCTCTGCTTGGACGATTGAGCAAAGTTGACGGTGCTCCCTTTGGCTTGCATTCCCCTGGTCTCAATACTGGGGTTGCAGACACGCAGGCCTCTCGCTGGCAAACTCCATGGACTCAAGCAAGCTGCCAAGGCGGAGGCAATGTAACCACGACACAAACCATAAAAGCGCGATTTCCCTTTCTACTTTGTTCATCATTGATGCTCAGGGAACTCCTTTCTTGGCAGAGACCCACAAGGCCGGGCGTCAAGGGCTACCTGCTCTCAAGATACTGTAGAAGACAGCTTGAATCGATGCATGTGTTTTTCCGTTGTGCCAAATCCACCCGAATGTGGCATCATTTGCACTCTGCGGTAGCCCTAAACGGACCTGATAACGTGAAATCCCTACAATTTCCAGGCTAACCACAAAACAGCCTGAGAACATGGCACTTGAGAAGAAGTGGTCCCCAAACTGCAAGGGCTACCCGTACTGTGACCGCCAACGATTACAGGGATGTGCGAACCTTGACAAGCACTCAGTGTCAACGTTCCCTGGCGATGCGCAAGAGCAACAGTGGCCTGTGCACTTGTCAGTTTCCTCAAGGGTTTTCCCAATGACAAGGACCCTTCAGTCGGCCGTTTAGAAAGGTCTCAGAAAGCTTGTAGAGGTAGAGTGAAAGGAGGAGGCAGCCAGGCCCAAACAAACAAAATTATGGATTTTAAATGTCAACTCCAGAATTGTTTTTTGTTGGCACCGCTGCCTCCTCCTCCTCCCTTAATGGCTTCCAGGACAAGCCCCAAGTTGTCGGAAGGCTAATCTAGGGTCCCCGAGCTCTGTTGGCGTCTCGGAGAGTCCTGTTTTTGGGTAAGGGCCCGCCTAGCACTTGGAACAATCATCGGATAACAGACATGCGTTTAACAAAGAATCTTCCGACATTCTTTGAGGATTCGAGCAAATCTTGCCTATAACAACTTGCCTACGAACTGAATATACATACTGACCACACTAGGAGATACATTAGCAAACATATTGTTGTGTTATATTGTGTGATACTAGTTGGCAGTTTGCCAGCCTAGCCATATCATGCTTAAACCATTACTACAGATGGAATGTGCCTTTGAACTATACCAGAGTTAGTGTGACAAGTCTTCTGTGAAGGTCTCTACCAAGTTTCCTGAACTAGAACAAGTATGTATAAACATTGTAGTTAGATTATTCATACGAAGGTATATGCTGCTAGTAGATAGAACTTGAATACGTGGTCTCTTCGCTTTGCCTTCAACTGGGAATGACATACCCCAAGATTCTTGTATTAGGAGAGTATTCCTCTGATAGCATCGGGAAAAAACGACCTATTCAAGTGCACTAGATCACTCATCATTAGTTTGATTCATACAATGAATATGACTGACATTCTTTACATGACTTTGTTATACTCATTGTATGGAGAGACGGCTGCGCTAAACGAGTATATGCTCATTATGAAACTGAGTCACAAATATGATTTTACCGGAAGCTTCTTGAAATTCAATTGAGGTGCTCGTGTTACGTTAAAGCGCACACCACTACTAAAAAGATTTAAGCTAAGTTGCACTCATAGATTTTCAGGTATATGGTCCACGATTGGTTCTCAAATTGACAGAAAATATTTTGGCAAGAACACCCTAAGCGTAAATATGCGAGAGTGTCGGCGTTGGGCGGGATTACGGGTCCGCAGCCACTTGCCCAACTTGCCCCACTTGCCCCACTCGCCCCACTCGCCCCACTTGCCCCACTCGCCCCACTTGACCCACTTGCCCCGCTTGCCCCCCTTGCCCCCCTTGCCCCACTTGCCCCACTTGCCCCACTTGACCCACCACTTGCCCCACTCGCCCCACTGGCCCCACTTGAGCCACCACTTGCCCCACTAACTTGACCCACTTGCCCCACTTGCCCCCATTGCCCACTCGCCCCACTCGCCCCACTTGCCCCAGTCGCCCTACTCGCCCCACTCGACCCACTTGTTGCCCCACTTGCCCCACTTGACCC